CACCTTCAGCGCCTACCTTTGGGCCCTGCTCTGGCTGGTTCTGCACCCTTCCACCACCTTGCCCCCACAACGCCCCCGACCAGCAGGAAGTAGCCAGAAAGAGTAACGACACCCTTCCCCATAAAAAACAGAAAAGGTGGGAATGAAGGGTGCCGGAAGCGACCAGAGGGGCGGCTCCCAAAATGGCGTTGACACACCAGACAACAAAGGCCCTAGGTCCTGGCTTCTGTGAACACAATTCCCTGCGCGTGTAAATTTCCAATCTTCCCACACACAAATTTCAAACCTGCAAGCCTCCAATCCATAGCCAGCTTTGTTATGCGTCCAATAGGACCATAACACAGCATTGGCCCCACCCTACTCCCATGCAGCTCCTCTAATAGGAGCATAGCATGGCACCTTCCGGCCCCTGTCAGGCTAATAAATACAGCCCTCTCCCCGCAACTCTCTCTCTCGGTCTCTCTTTCTCTCTCTCTCTGTCACTCTCTCTCTCTCTGCAGCTCTGTCCCCGCCTCTCTCCCACTTCCTCTCTCTCTCTTACTCTCTCTCTTTTTCTTTTTTCCCATTACAGATCCCCTCTGTAACAGCCGCTTTAATAAATCTCTTGGTCCTGGCCGGGTGTGGAGTCATTACTGGCGCTGAACTTCTTTCAGTGGTTGTGTGCCTGTAGACTCAGCTACTCAGGAGGCTAAGGTGGGAGGATCACTTGAGCTCAGGAGTTTGAGGTTGCAATAAACTATGATCACACCATTGCACTCCAGCCTGAGTGACAGAGCAAGATCTTACCTCAAAATAAAATAAATAAATAACAAATATTTGAAAGGCATAAATTAAGAAAACACTATTAAATGTGATAATTTTTATCTTTATATCTTGACATATATAATTCATAACATCTTGGGAGATGAAGGTTGAACATTTTATACTCTGTGACTCCTTAGAAATGTACAATGGAAAGTGACTTTTGGGGGGAAATGGTATATGGCCTTTCTTGTTTTCCACCAAGAAGCACAAAGGGCCACACATTGCATGAACACGGACACTACAGGATCCCATTCAAGCACCATCCACAATCTCCTCACAGAGCTACCCCTTGACCATGCTTTGGACCAGAGGGGCGTGTTAACAAAACAGTCTGCTCTTGGGAAGACAACCCCAGGAAAAAGGCTAGTGCAGGCCCTGGAAACAAACTTGGGTGCACCGGAGGCAGATAATTCTGGGGACTCAAGTGCCCACAATATGTTCTAGAAGGAACCATGTGGACTCTGGAAGCACACATCTTCTTAACCTTAGGGACTCCTTACCTTGTGGGGAAGGGCACAGACAGGGCAAGAGTAGAGCCCTCCAAGGCCCTCTTTCACAGATCTATTGTTTTCTTGCTCTAGTTTTTTTTTAAACCTGTGAAGAAAAAGGTAACTGCATATATTCTGCCTGTGAAGTTGGATATTCCATAGGGAAACTACTCAACCAAATTTCTCTTTGAACTTTCCATTCTACTACAGAAATGCCTACCTCTCCTAATAGTTTTATTTCTATGAAAAGACACACTTCCAAAGTACTCAAACACTTTTAAAAAAACATTTCTCTATTTGTCTTAAGCTAATTTGATGTGGCTCTTATTACTTATATCCCAACTAGGAGACTTTTTTAGTTGCGGATTCAATTAAAATTTTGTTACTTGAGTTTATATGTTTAATAATGCTTTTAGTGCACAAAGTGATTTCATATTCACTTATAACCCCACAATACTCTGTGAGGTGAGAATCAATTCCCCTTTTGCAAATACAGAAATAAAAGCTCAACTAACTTGTCCAAACTTCCAGATAAGATTTCCTTGTGGTAATGAAAGGGTGGTTGGGTCTATTGCTCTCCCTGACGTGCATGAGAAAATACATCAGTAGGTGCTAACAGTGAAGTAAAGCGGGTGCTAACAGGAGGACATCTCTTCTCACAAAAACTGTTAGGAACAAATGAACAATAGACAAAAACATCCTTTGTATTCATTTGTAAGCAAATATGATCTTTTTGACATTTTCTCTGAAGAAAGTACAAATGACAAGAATTAGAGACTTCAACTGGCAATGTCCTTTCATTTAGGGCCTGTACCTGGGGATAAACCAAAACTTAACTTTCCATGAGTGAGTGTGCAAGATATAAACCTAAGAAGAAATCTGTCTAGAATCAATGAAGAATTGGGCCTGGGAGGAAAAGCAAGAATTAAATCTCTAACTGAAGTACGCATGAATTCTTCAGAGTTTAGGAATCTGCAAGCATCTGGTACCATCTCTGGTTACAGAATGAAAGTGAAGTGTGTCATGTGGGCAGGGAACTTGTCTCGGTTTTGGCAGTCTGCCTCCCTGAAAATGGAGTTGGGGCAGGTGTCCAGAGAATAAGTCTGCAGGAAGTTAACAGCTCTTTTGGGTAGCTCTAGGAATGGTGGTGGTGGTGGTGTGTATGTGTGTGTGTTTCTCAAGTTAGCTAATATACCCAGGGCCATTATGGCAAAAGAGAGATCCCAGAAGGATATGCGCAATGATTTATTATGATGCCTGGATACAGACTAAGGGAGATGGAACTTTAAGAGATGGTTCTAATGATTGTGGAATGGGGGATAAGGTTAATGTCTGAGGAAGAATAAAACCTCGGTAGCAATCATGACCTCATAGGGATGTCTATTGATAAACTAGCAAACTGCAGTAACTTAGGGGGTTCCTTAAGTTAGGATTTAGAAGCCAGGTTTGAGGTGATGGAGGAGGGGACAGAGTGGTGATGAGGAGGGGATCTGAAGAACAGACTCTGCTTACTCTGTGGACTGGTTATAAGGTTACTCAAAGAAGGAAGCATACCTCTGTCATTTAAGTTATTCTATTTAGTTTGGGAGGTATAAGGAGGGAAGATCAGGCTCACACACATCAGCAGTACTCAACAAAGTAGTTATCACATATTTAGTATTTAAATGTTTGATAGTATTAGTGTTGTTATTTCTCATAGTCTTTTTAAAAAATTATAAAGATGTGGGGTACAATTCAGAGTTAGGTATACAAATGTTGAGTATGCAAGCACCCTTGTTGATGAGGTAAGCCCCTCTCTCCCCTAGCAGTTTCCCTCAGCTGCCAATCCCACCCCCGCTCCCCTGACAGTTTCCCACTACCGCCAATCCCTTTTTTATACTAGTACAATAATTGTTCAAGGTCCGCTTATGAGTGAAAACATATGGTACTCTGTTCTTTGTTTCTGTGATAGATCACTGATATGATCAACTTTAAATCCTTCAAAGTTACCTCGAAGTCCATATGTCTGTCCTTTTTTATGACTGCATAATATTCCATTGTGTATATGTACCACATTTTTAAAATTCAGTTTGGCTTTGATGGGCAACATGGTGGTTCCATGTTTTTGCTATTGTGAATAGAGCTGCAGCAAACATATATGGGCAGGTATTTTTTTGCAGAGTGATTTAAGTTCCTCCGGGTATTGAGGAATTGCTGGGTCATATGGAAGATCAATTTCTAGTTCTTTCAGAAATCGCCACACTGTCTTCCAAAGAGGTTGCACTAGTTTGCATTCCCACCAGCAGTGCAGAAGTGTTCCTTTTTCTCCACAACCTCACCAGCATCTGTTGTTGTTTGTTTTATTAATGATGGTCATTCTTTCTGAGTGGTATTTCAAGGTCGTTTTGATTTGCATTTCTCTGATGATGAGTAAGGCTGAGCACTTTTCCATGTGTCTGTTGGCTGCCCATATATCTTCTTTTGAGAAGTGTCTATTCATGTCTTTTGCCCACTTTTTAATGGGGCTGTTTGTTTTTTTTCCTTATGGCACATTTGAGTTCTTTGTAGATCCTAGATGTTAGGCCTTTGTCAGATACACAGTTGGCAAATATTTTTTCCCATTCTGTGGGCTGTCTCCCTGCTCTCTTGATGGTTTCTTTTGCCTTGCAGAAGCTTGTTAGTTTGATAAGGTCCCACTTGTCTATTTTATTTCTTAAGGTATTGGTCTTTAGGGCTCTGAATAGGAATTCCTTGCCAGTTCCAATATCCACAAGAGTTTCTCCTGCATTTTCTAAGAATCTTATAGTTTGAGGTTTTATGTTTAGGTCTTTGATCCATTTAGAGTTGATTTTTGTGTATTAGGATAGGTGGAGGTCTTG